GATGAGGGAGTCGAGGTCTTCGAGGCCCGAGGCCGGGCGACCGCGGCCGCCGGCGGCGACGGGCGCGGGCGCGGGTGCGTTGGTGCGCAGTTGCACGGCGGCGGGGTGGCCTCTGCCGGCTGTGGAGATGCGCGCGGCGGTGGCGTGCGACGGGGCCGCACCGGCCAAGCGCACGTCTGGGAGGGGAAAAAAAGATTGGGGGGGGGGTCTACCACGTTAATCCCACTTGCCTAGTGTGTTGTTGGTGATGATGATGACAACGATGACGAAATAATTAAATGAGGAGCACATTGGAAGGAGTGGTGATGAAGATTGATGGATGATGAAGTCAAGAACTGGGTGTGAATGGGAAAAAAAATGAAACACGGGCTGTTTTTGTCAGTACCCTTGCCCAAATCGCCAAGCAAAGCATCAAGTTCGTCCATCTTTGTGTGTTGTGTGAGTGCCAGGGGGAAACGGTTTGTTTTTGTGAACCCAAATTCCTTTTTTTTTTTTTTTTTTGCTGTTGGCCTCCTGGGCAACCAAGAGAGACAACACCAGAACACACCAATGCCCTCGGTTTTGGGCTCCAAACAGCCAAGGTAAATCCAGCCTGGTCTACCACGGCAGAATGCAAACCGGCCCCAGCCTGAGGGAGGATGTAGGATGAGGTCCCCCCAACACACACGTTGTGTTTGTCCCATGTAACCAGAAAACCCCGAGCCTCGTGCAGGATTTGCGCAGGAAAAAGTGGAGAGAAAAGGGAGAGGAAGAGAGAGAAAAAAGAAAAAGAAAATAGGTTGTTTCTGGGCCGGAGATGGAGGTGTTGGGCCGCGACGCGGGTGCGGGGCGCCTGCGTGCTGTGTTCCTGATGGCCACCGCACTCAAGCTCCTCCTCATCCCCTCCTAGTACGGGCCACCCACGTTTTTAATCCACCATTTTTTTTTATTTATAATAAAGGCGAATAAATTGCTGACGTGTCGCCCACGCCAGCCGAAGCACAGACTTTGAGGTGCACCGCAATTGGATGGCCATCACCCACACCCTGCCCCTCTCCAACTGGTACTACGAGGTATATTTCCTATTCTTTCTTTCTTTTATTCTTTTAATTATTAATTAATTTTTTAATTAAAAAATCGTTGTGTGCGGTGGTGCGTGTGCGTGTGCGTGTGCGGGCTGACAGTCGACATCGGAGTGGACGCTGGACTACCCGCCACTGTTCGCCTGGTTCGAGTGGGCGCTGGCCCACGCGGCGGTGTGGTTCGACCCGGCCATGGTCGAGCTCCATCACCTCAACTACGCCTCCCCGCTCGCCGTCCTCTTCCAGCGCCTCACCGTCATCGCCACCGACCTCGTCCTCTTCGCCGGCGCCCTCCGGTTCCAACTCTCTTTCTTCGAACCGCTCGCGCGCTCCGCACACGTCTGACACCGCACACGCACGCACCGCACACGCACGCACCGCACGCACCGCACACGCACGCGCATGCAGGTTGTGTCAGACGTTGTTTCCGCTGAGCGAGGCGAAGCGGTTGGTGTGCGTGGGGCTGGTGGTCCTCAACCCGGGCCTCCTCATCGTCGATCGTACCATCCGCCGCGTGTCGTGTGTGTCGTGTCGTGTCGTGTCGTGTGGCGTGTGTGTCGTGTGTGGTGCCACTCATTGCGAGTCGTCGCGGTGGACCCAGACGTGCACTTCCAGTACAACGGGCTGCTGATGGGCCTCCTCCTCCTCTCCATCGACGCCATTCTCCACTCGCACGTACCGCTCCCAACCACTCACACCATTCCCCCCCCCACGAAACTCACACGTGTGCGTGTGTGCGTGTGTGCGTGTGTGCGTGTGTGCGTGTGTGCGTGTGCGGTGGCATAGGTGCTGGTGGGCGCGGCGCTGTTCACGGTGGTGGTGAACATGAAGCACATCTTCGTCTACATGGCCCCCGTCTACTTCGTCTACATCCTCAAGAACTACTGCTTCTGCGCCCCCTCTGCTGCCCCCTCCGTCGCCCCCTCCGTCGCCCCCTCTGCCGCCCCCTCCGCCCCCTCTGCCGCCCCCCTCTCGCCCGACCGCCGGCGTCGGCCGTCGCTGGCGGGGAGCGACACGGAGAGCGATACGGAGGGAAGCTGCGCGGAGGAGGAGGGCGACGAGTGGTACGGCGCCGGCGAGAAGCCGCGAAGCTTCAGCCCGCTGCGCTTCATTCGAGTTGGCCTTGTCGTCCTCGCGGTCGTCGCCGTCTCGCTCGGCCCCTTTGTCTACCTCTCCCAGGTGTGTGCGCCGCGCGTGTCGTGTCGTGCGCCGCGCGTGCGTCCGTGTGTGTCGTGTGTAAGCCCGTGTGTGTCGTGTGCCGTGTGTGGTGTGCGGCTCACGTGTTGCGTGTGTGCGGCGTGTGCAGATCCGGCAGGTGCTGTCGCGTCTGTTCCCGTTCGGCCGGGGCCTCTGCAACGCCTACTGGGCGCCCAACTTCTGGACCCTCTACAACGTGGCCGACAAAATTCTCGCACAACGCACGTGCCAACACACCGTCGACATATGACACGACACGACACACGACACGACACGCAACACGACACGACACACGACACACGACACGCACACCGGCGACTGACTGACGCCCCCCCCCCTTACACAACGCGCAGTGTTGCGCCGGTTCGGGATGGGGAGCGTGGGGGTGGGGGTGATGACGGGCGGCCTCGTGGGCGAGTTCGAGCACGCCGTGCTGCCGGTGGTCAAGCCCCTCCACACCTTCGTGCTCACCCTAGCCGCCTCGACCGTACGCACGACACGACACACGACACTCACGGCAGACACGACACGACACGACACGACACGACACGACACGACACGCACAACGCACAACGCATGACACATGCCACACGTGCGGGTGGGGTGTTGCGAACGTGTTGGGTGGGTGCGTAGCCGCTGCTGTGGAAGCTGCTGGACGGCGGGCGTGGAGGGCGCGTGTTCATCGCGGCGCTGGTGCAGTGCTCGCTCTGCTTCTTCATGTTCTCGTGGCACGTACACGAGAAGGCCGTCCTCATGCCCATCCTGCTCCTCACGTACGCCCCACCTCCCCCCCCACCTCCTCACAACGCCGCCCATGCGCGACGCGACACGACACGACACGACACGGCACGCACGACACGACACGACACGACACGACTAAACGACACGACACGCGCGCGGCAGGTTGTTGGCGGGAATGGACCGGGACTACGCGCACGCCTTCTTCTTCGCGTCGACCGTGGCCCACTACTCGCTCTTCCCACTCCTCTTCACCCCTCGCGGTTCGCTACCCTCCCTCCCTTCTTCTTCTTCTTCACCCATGGTCCTCCACCACCAGTCGTGTCGAACGACAAAAAAAACTGTTCATTTCAAATGTTGTACATCAAAACAACCCTCCTTCCTCTTCCTCACCTCTTCTTCTCCTCCGCCTCACCTCTTCTTCTTCTGCTGCTGCTGCTTGACGTGGTGCAGAGTACGCGACCAAGGTGCTGCTGGTGGGCACCTACACGCTCGTCGCCTGGGTCCTCCTCCCGCAGATCCACGCTCCCCCTCGCGCACCCGAACGGTACCCTTCCTCCTCCATCCTTCATCCTTCCTCTTCATCATCATCATTCCTCCTCCTCCTCCTCTTCTTCATCATTCCTCTTCGTTTGTACACTTGTGCATCTCCTCACCATCATCGTCATCGTCACCTTCACCTTCATCGTCATCATCGTTGTCGTGCGGGCAGACGTCGTAGCGGCGGCGGCGGGACGGAGCCGGCGGCGGAGGAGAGGTTGGTGGGCGGCTGGTGGACGGGCGACGGGGCCTATCTGGCGGGGCTCGCGGCGGTGGAGGCCTACGGCGGGTCGTGGGGCGGCCTCCACGCGTGGCTGTGGGGCGCCGGCGGGCGGCTGCCCTTCCTCCCGCTCCTCGTCACCTCCCTCTACTGCGCCCTCGGCCTCCTCCACGCCTTCGTCCGCCTCTACCGCGCCTTCCTCCTCATCGTCGTCCCCTCCACCACCTCCTCCGCCCGCTCCTCTCCCGCTCCCCTCAAACGCTCCTAGTCACCCTCATCTCCTCCTCCTCATCTTCGTTCATCTCCTCTTCTTCGATCTTCAATCTTCATTAGACTTTGGTCTTCTCCTCTTCCGCCGGAAGCTCCTGCTTGATGCCCTCCTCCTCTTCTTGCTTCTCTTCCGGTTCCGTTTTCGTTTCAACGGTCTCGACGACTTCCAGGGGCGGCGCCGTCGTCGTTGGCGTCGACATCGTCGTTGTCGTGTTGGCCTCTTCCTCTTCCATCGCGTCCTTCTCCTTTTCCTTCTCCTCCTCTGTCTTCGTCTCTCCGCCCTCGATGACTTGCGTCGGCGTCGTCGACGTGGTGGCGGCGGCGACATCGGCGGCATTCTTGGTGGTGGTGGCGGCGGCGCGGGCGGGGGTCGGGTGGAGCTGCTTGTGGCGGTCCCACTCGGCCTGGACGGAGGCGTAGGACTGCTCGAAGGCCGCCTGGAACTCCTTGGCCAGCAGGTGCACCTCGTTGTCCTGCTCGTTGTAGGTCAGCGCGTTGTTCCACACCAGCCGCACGTCCGCCGCAAACTCCTCCGGCGTCTCGTAGTGGCCCGACTGCAGTTGCGTCTGTTCGCACCACACGACACACACCGCACGACACACACACGTCGTCAACGCAAGTCCTTGTCTTGAAGAAAGAAAAAAGAAGAAACGAAAAAGAAAAGAGGAGGGAAAGACAACCTTGATGGTGCCGAGGTCCATGGGGTTCTTGATGACGTCAAAGTAGTCGGGGATGTTGAGGGCGAGCGGGTCGACGGGCGTGTTGAAGACCCAGCCGTACTCGTGGGCCATGAGCTCCTGCAGGATCTCCAGGCACGCGTGGAGCGGCTTCGGCAGCGGCGCCGCCTTGTCGCCGTGCGGGTCGAACATCCGCACCTTGCGCGTGCGCCGCGGCCGCACGGTGGGCGACGCCTGCTTGGGCTGTTTGGGCGGCAGCACCAGCGAGTCGCCGGGCGACGTGGCCGTCCCGACGGCAGCTGCTGCGGCCGCGCCCGGCGGTGACGGCGCCTTGGCCGGCGACGTGCTGCTGTTCTTTCGCTTGCGCGGGGTGCGGCCGCCGGACGACGAGCCCCGCCTCCCGGGAGGTGACGTCACGCTCGCCGGTGGCGCAGCCACGTCATCGCCGGAGGCGGCGATGCCTGCGGGTGATGAAGAAGTAGTGGTGGTGGTGGCTCCCTCCTCGGTCGGGGTGGAGATGACGATGGCCGGCGTGGTGGTGATGGTTTGATTCGTATCAACTTCGTCGGCGGCGGCGCCGTCGGTCGATGCCGATCGGCGTCGGCCTCGTGCCTCCTCGCCACGCGGTGATGTGCTGCGCTCGGTCTTGCGCGCCTTGCCGCTGCTGCCCCGCGTCCGTCCGCCGCCCTTGGCCTTGCCCTTGCCGGCCACCGTCGATGATCGATGGGCCGTGGTCGTGACGGGAGCCGAAGCCGACAGGACGCTGTCGCGCCGCGGTCGATGACGATCGGCCGCGTCCTTGGCCGCGTGACCGGTGCTGCTGTGGCTGAGGCTATTATGATTAAAGCCGTCGTTGCTGTCGACATCGACGTTGATGTCGACATCGTCGCCGTCGTTGAGCCAGGAGTCGTCGTCGCTGCCGTGCTGTTGGATGCTGACGACGCTGCTCGTGGCGCGCCGTCGCCGCAGGGAGGACCCGGAGGCGGACAGCGGGGTGTGGGGCGGGGAACCCGCACGCGAGGACGACGAGTTGAGCGACACCGAGGCGCTGCGGCGTCGTTGCTGCTGCTGCAGCTGCTGTTGGCCATGCCGCTTCCCTGTTGGTTCGGGCAAAAACAGTAAATGGTGAGCTTGCTTTACAGCGTGTGCGGTGTGTGCGAGAGTCAAGTGTTGGGTACCGAGGACGGTGTAGACGTAGTCCTCCACTCGGGAGAGGGTGGCGGGCGACAGGAAGGAGACGTCCATGTCTATCGTCTGCGCCAGCATCTGTCTCTGCATCAACACACACACACACACGACACACACACGACACACACACGACACACACAATCACACGCACCGCCCCATTCGATATGAGATCATGGTTTGGGGACAACGGCACACACGCGCAAGCGCGCACCGTGGCAAAGGAGTCGGGCATCTGCCGGAATATGATCTTGAGGAGTTCGGGCACGTGGTCGGCATCGAGCAGCGTTATATCGCGCATCAGCTGCCGCTTGTCCTCGTACGACATACTCGACGCTCGCCACCTGCAGCCACAGCGCCAACACGACACGTGCGGTGCGTGAGCATTCAGCGTTTCGCGCGTGATAACAACGACGGGACCGTGCGCGTGAAGAGTGCGGGGTGCGTACTCGGCTAGCATGGGGTATCGCTTACGCATCTTGGCGGCGTGGCGCGACATGAAGCGTGGCCGGCTGCTATCGCTGCGCGCGTATGTGTGCCCCTCGTCCCCACTGTCCACACCACCGCCTCCGCCTCTCGCGCTTGCGCAACCAACGGCGTCGAGCGACAGCGATCGCGCACCGAACCTGGCACGGCGACCGTGGCCGTCGTCGTTGGCGTCATCGTCGTCGTCACTGTCGTCATCGCTGATGTTGTCAAACGACACCGACGAAGCCGCCAGCCCGCCTCCGCAGTGATCGTCGTTCCACCCACCACCGAATCCGTTCTCGCCGCGCACGCTTCCCCTTCGGTGGCCGTTGCCGAAATGGCGAGGGGCGAATATGGCCGAAGCACTTTCTGCCGTTGATGATGTCGATGTCGACGATGATGATGACGTGGCAGCAGCAGCCGCGCGTCGGGCGCTCTCCAATTGGTCCTCCCGGCGCTGGTGCTCGTCGCGCCACGCATCCCACTCGCCCACGATGTCCGTGCCCATGTAGACGTCCTCCTCGAGCGGCCACCCGTATCGGTCCACCCAGAAGCGCTCCTCCTCGTCGTCATCCTGCCCCGCCTCGTCATTGTTGCTTTGCTGTTGCCGATTGGTGACTTGTTGTTGTTGTTGTTCGTCGTTGGTGCCGTCGGGGGTGGCGTTGATGTTGTCGATGACGGAGCGCTTGACTTTTCTGTACAGAACGCCGTTGACGACGCCCTCGTTGGGGTCGCCGCCGGCCTCGAGCAAGTCGCGTCGCTTGGCCTCCACGTGGTTCATCCGCCGCAGGCTTCGGTAGAGCCGCAGGAATCGCTTCTCCTGCATCTTTCGCCTCTTCGCCTCTTTGGCCTGCTCGGCGGCTGTGCGACACAACCAAACGCACTGTTCAGCCGTTGCAGCAATTCATTGTCTAACGAACGACGACATACCTTGGTCGAGTTCGCGTTTCTTTGCCGCCTTGATCGCCTTGCCCTGAGCGCCGACGGCCGCCGGTTCCTGTTATTTTGGATGGTGATGACGATAACACCATCAGCAAATGTGTGAACAGGTCTGATGTCGACAAACACACGGCCCGTGCGTACCTCGGTGGGTGCCGGGGTGGCGGAAGAAGTCTCCAGGTCCATGGGAACGGGTCGCGGGCTGCCAGCAGCAGTGGTCAACTCCGCAGACGCAATGGCGGGCGCAGTGGAGGGGGCGGCTGCGACAGTGCTGCTGGGGCTCGCGGTAGTGGTAATGGGATCGGGAGAGGCCGTGGCTGTTGGCGCGGGCGCAGGTGCGGGCGCGGGCGGCAAGGGGTTCTTCCGAGGCCGGCCCCGCCCTCGCTTCAGAGGAGGTGTTGGTTTGGCTCCAGCCGCGGCTGTGGTGGCTGTGGTGGTCGTGGTGGTCTCCTTTGCCGTCGCCGGCGCTGTCGCAGGAGGCGCCGCTGCCACCGTCGTCGTTGTTGCCTCTGCTGGCGATTCCCTCTTCCGCTTGCCTACATCCGGCCAGCATCCGGTTAGCACGCTGAAGCTGTGAAACCGCAACACTGCGCACGCGCACATGTCGGGAGGGAGAGTAGAATGTACTCCTGTCGTGGGCGGTGCAAGGACCCTCGTCCGAGTGTTTGCAGCACCACGAGCAGTAGCCACGCGGGCAGGTCTTCAGCGAATTATGGGCATGACACTGGTTGCACCTGTTATCATCGGCGACGGTTGAGCGAGAGAGCGTGCAAAGGCAAACGAAAGCGAAAACGAAAAGAGAAGAAGAAGAAGGCAAAAATGAAGGCACCGGTGGGTGGCGGACGGCGACTTGGACTCGGTGGGGCTGGCCACTACAGCGACGGCTGCAGCACTGACGACTGGTGCTGGGCTGGACGCAGCCGCGGGTGGAGGCGGCGGCGGCGGCGCGGCAATCTCGACGGGCACCGCGCCAGATTCCTTCGTTGATGCATCAGAATCACTGCCGCCTGTGAGTGTCCAGAGTGGAGCGCAGGTGAGTTGATACACTCATCCCGAAGAAGAAGAAGAAGAATGTGCAGGCGTGCTGAGAAGAAACATCACAACAACGAAGGCCAACACCAACTGAAGCGCTCACGCTACGAAATGCACATTGGAATGTGCAGAATGTAGAATGTAGAGCAGGGGTATGAAGTAGTAGAGGATCAAGTAGCAGGAAAAGAGAGAAAGGTACGCAAACAACGTACTGTCAGAGTTGGCGTGGTAGTTGCGGTCTCCGTCGCCCGAGGTGTCCTGTGCCGCCTGGTCCTCCTCTGTGTCGGTGTCCTCGAACTCGTAGAGATACTCGCTGTCCTTCTTCTGCAGCTTGCTCCTTCTCGTCCTCTTGCCCTTGGGAAGTCCTACACGTCGGCCGACACCACCCGAGTAAGCGTGAAAGCCGCACACGCACACGGCGAACGCACGCGTAGCGAGTAGCGGCCTCCAATCAAGCTTCGCGAAGAGAATGCAAGCGCAGAAGGCAAGATGGGCACCTTCAATTGCTGCACTTGATCTGGACTTTGACTTGGGCTTGCGTCCCCTTTTCTTGGGCCTGATGCCGCACCAGACAAGAGATGGATGTGAGAATCACCGTGGCAGGGCACATTACGCATCTGTGCTTGAAAGATCTCATCTCTGAGCAATCTCTCGCAAGAGATCGGGCGCGCCGCGTACCCAGCGTCAACACTGGCTTTGGCGGTTGCCGCCGCTTCATCTTCCACTTCCATCTCGATTGCTCAGCACTCTGCCAGCAACTGGCTGTCAAAAATGTCGAAAATGTATCGTCTACGAAAATCGTTCCTCGTTGCTATCGAGGATGCTGATCGATCTCTATCTCTGTCGAATCGCCCAACGCAAAGGAAGGTGGTGGCTCGACCAATCGCACGCTCGAGCTCGAATCGCCTTCCCAATTCTCGTCTCTAATTTGCCGCACAAGCTGCACTCGTTCCAAGGCGCCGAGTTGATGTGAGTTGTTGTTTTGGCAATCTTTTCTCTTTTCTGTGCAGCCGTTTCTATCTGTCGACACTAATTCCGATTGGTCCGTGCCACGTAAGCCTTAAAATTTCTAAATTAAATCCTCGCCGAGGAACGAGTGCAGCGGTCGTTCCAAGGCACTCGAAATTAATTTAGCCGAACTGACGAAGACAACAACTTCAATGGCCGTCGGTCTCGCCATCGTCGCTGTCGCTCGCGTCGCCGTCGGGAGCGCCGCCGTCGGGAGCGCCGCCGTCGGGCTGGCGTCCGAGGTACTGCAGCAGATTCCGCACCCACTCGTTGGCCGCTGCGCCTCCCGCCGGTGGCGGCGCGCCGCCCGGGCCGGCACCCGCGCCAGCTTCGCCAGGCAGCGGCATGAACGGCATCAACGTGCTCTGGTTCATCGTCACCACCATCGTCACGGTCAGCGTCAACATCATCGTCATCTAGAAGACCAACACCACTGTGGCAAGAAGACGTACGAGGAACATGGCGAGCGGGTTGTCGCCGAAGAGACCCTCGGCGGCGCCACCCTGGGCGGCTGTCTGCTGCTGGCGCTGGCGGCGGGCTCGGGAAAGGGCCACCACGGTGCCGCTGGCGTCGTACAGCTCGAACGTGCGCGGCGCGTCCGGCGGCAGATCTCGAATCGACTCCGGCAGCTCTGCGCAGGGCAGTCCTTGGGTTGAGCGACACACGCACCACCGCACACAACACGACACGCACAACACGATGGCCACGGCGCCTCCGTACCAGAGAGGAGGACATGCCGGTGCACGCCGGCCAGGGACGACGGGTAGAGCGGCTGGGCGCGGATGTCGGCCATCGTGTACACGATGTCGTCACTGGCATCGACCCGTGTCAGAACGCGCTTGCACACGCCCTTGAGCCAGAACAGGACCTACACACATGACACGCACGCACGCACGACACACACACACACACACACGACACACACCACACCACACACACACGTCACGCGCCGTGTGGGTTAGTGCCTCGCCGGGTGACACGGGTGGGTCCACGGGGCTGCACGGACCTGGGGCGTCTTCCACATGATGTGCGCCCGGGAGAGGTAGAGCGGGATGAGGTAGCGCTGCGTGAAGGCAAAGGGCGCCGAGAAGTACCGGTGGCCCACCAGCTCCTCCCACGTCCCAAACCGGTCCCTGGCGCGCGTAAATCGTAAGCTCACCGCAAACAGATGTGTGCGGTGTGTGTGTGTCGTGTGTGTGTGTGTGTGTGTGTGTGTCGTGTGTGTCGTGTGTGTGTGTGTCGTGTGTGTGGTTTGGATGTGCGTACTTTTCGCTCAGACGCACGTTGCACTTGGCGAGGAGCGGCTTGAGCATCATGGGGTAGAGCAGCAGCGCGCGCTCGAGCCACTCGGCGCTCTCCGCGTGGTCGCCCTCGCCCTCGAGGAAGAACTTGGCCAGCGGGACCGAGAAGGCGAAGTTGGGCAGATCGAACATGGGTCCGAAGCCGTAGGCCAGGTCCGTCTTGGCCTTGGGCTGCGACGACCCGCGCGCCGCCCGATCTGCGCCCCCGTCGCACCCAAGTCAGCCCGCATAACTTCATCCGTTCGATGTCGTGTCGTGTCGTGTCGTGTCATGCCGTTGGTCGTGCCGTGTCGTTGGTCGTGTCGTGTCGTGTGTAGTTTTACCTTGGGCGTTGTACTCCCTGGCGAAGCGGAGCACGTAGGGAAACTCCTTGGCACGCAGGGCGAAGTAGTCCACCACGAGGTGCACCGCAAACGGATCCGACGGGTCGAGTGTGAGAAGAAGCTTGCAGTACTCGAGCGCCGTTCTGGATGGGGTAAGCCACCATCACAATCGTCAGTACGTGCCCAGCACGTGCGAAGGCGCGCGTGTGTGTGTGCGGTACCTGCTGCAGCCTCGCGTGCCCAGCATCAACGCATAGTTGAAAAGAGCCAAAAAGAAAGCCCTGGCAACACGACACGACACGCAACACACGTGAGATCAGAAGTGTAGAAACGATGACGGGGGGGAAGGGGAGGAGAGTACCGGTTGGGCTCGTGGGAAAAGAGGAAGCGGGCGTTGCCGCGGAAGAGGGAGGGCACGAAGAGGGGGTGCCACACGGACTCGAAGCAGAACACGGCGCGCTCGACCAACTCGGTCGCCGTCTCCAGTTCGCCCGTGTGCTTGCACACCTCGGCGAGCTGCACGAGGGCGTCGACGTGGTAGGGGTGGTACTGGAGCAGCTGCGCGATCGTGTTCGGATCACCGCTTTCCACACACTCAAAGTACTGCAATCGCACACGCACACGCACCACCGCACACGATTGAGTCGATTGGGGTGTGCGCTAGAGCGAGGCAAAGGAGGTCGAGGGAGGCGGCGAGCGTCACCTGCTCCATGATCTTGTTGTACTGGCCCGACCACTGGATCCCGAAGTAGTTGATGCCGTTCACCGAATCGAGGAGCTCCATCGACACGCCATCGGCCGAGAAGCGTGGCCCTGTGCGCGTAGGCGTGTGCGTGTGTGCGGTGTGTGCGTGCGTGCGTGCGTGTGCGTGACTCGTGGGTTGAGCGAGCGGTCGGTGATGGACACAACAACGAAGCGCGAGCGGCGGGCCGTGTACAATTGGCGTTGGGTTGCATGAGCATGGCCTTGGTCTTGATCTTCGAGCTGGAGCTCTCCTTGCGCTGCGCGGCTACCTGCGTTTCGCACAAACACAACATGTCGACACGTTAAGCCCTGGCGGCCGCACAGGGCATCGCATGGTGGCGGGTGGGGGTGGATGGGAGTGGTACGGTCTTGGCGCCAAAGAGGCGGCAGAGCTCGGCCTCGGCGTTCATGAACTTGGCCGAGAGGTACAGGAGCGCGTCCTCCTCCGCACCTTCACCACCGTCGCCGCTCTTCTCTCCGCCGGCACCAGCAGCTCCGCCCTGCGCGTCCTTAATCGCGAACCTACGCGCACACACGACACACACGACACGACACGACACGACACACACAACACACACGGCACACAACACACGACACACACGTTATGGCGGATCGTGGGGAGATGGTGGGCGGATGGCGTTGCGCACTGTTGGAGAAGGGTGTCGATGTCCTCGGCCTTCTTCTTGCCCTTGTTCCGGGCTCGACCCGCTTTGGCCTTGCCCTTGCCGCCACCGCGCTTCTGCTCGGTCGCCGCGGCGCCCTTCTTGTTCTTCCTGCCCTTGCCGCGCGCCTGCTGCTGCGGAAGCTCCTCTGCCGCTTCCTCCTTGTCTCCACCATCTTCTTCCTCTTGCTCCTCCTCGTCGCCGTCTCCACCCTCGCCTTCATTCAACTGTTCACCCAATAATCAATTATCAGAATTCATTAGCTTTGCCGGTGCTGCCTAAAATCAATTAAATCCTTCTGCTCAGCAGCACAAGCAAAGCGGGCCACGCACGAGATCAAATGGATTGACGAAACCGCCGCGCTTAGGTTGAGATTCCACTTCCTCTTCTTCCTCATCTTCCTCTTCCTCCACCGTGGCGGCGGCAGCCTGCAGCAGCAGATCCCTGTCCTTTGCCAGCGCCCTCTTCGTCTGCCTACTCGACATCTTCCCTCCTCTACTCGATTACTTTTTTCTGTTTATATTATTTATTTTCTATTTAGTTTTTTCGTTTTTGTGTGAATCATCTGATCCCCATCTTTCTTTACTTTTTCGTAGTACTTGGTATCCCTTCCCCCTCTCTCTCCATCTTCACACGAGCTGTTTTTTGGCATGTAGGTTTAGATTAATCTTCACAAAGGGATTCTACGCGCGTAGAGCGAGAGAGAACACACACGACCGTCGTTACGACGTGAGTAGCGGGGAGAAGGGAGAGGGAGGGGGGGGGCGTGTTCATGTCCACACGGCCTTACTGCGCGCTGGTGGCGATGGACATCTTGGACCACACGTAGGGGTAGAACTTGTCCGACACGCCGGCCAGGAGCGAGGCGGCGTCCACCTCGTCGCCGCCGTCGATGTACGAGGACCCGAGCTTGGCGTAGAGGCTGTCGAGCGTCTTCCTCAGCTTGTTCTCCGAGCTCCTGCCCGGCTCGATCACCGCCGACGTGTACTCGGCCGGCAAACCAAACCTCAAAACTGCGATAGTTGACGGGTTTATGGTGAGTGTCGTGTCGTGTCGTGGTGTGTGCGATGCGTGTGTGGGATGCGTGTACCTGCTTCAATAAAGGTGCGGATGGCCTTGAGGTGCACCCAGCTGGTGAAGGCCTCGGCGAAGTTGAGCCTGCACCACCTGATCAAGCTGTTCTGTTGTGATGAAACGGTCGTGATCACGCGATGGGTAAGATTCCCGATCACCTCATCTCACCTCACCTCACACTGGCGATCAACAAGACGAGAAAGAACCGCTACCTTCTGCTTGACACGCTTGCTTTCGAACTTCTTGAGGTCCTCCTTGCCGGCTTCCACGGCCTTGGCGTCGAACTTGTATTCACGCACGGTCCACCTGAAGAAGCACAGGGTAGAGGGGAAACCACGGTGAGCACCAAAAAGTGGGGGGGGGCGTGTGCACACAGGCCCGGCCGGTGTAGTAGATAACGTACTTCTTCTTGCGAGCCTGTGTCTTGAAGTCGTCCGCCATCTTCTTGAAAAGGATGACGTTGTAGAGGTTGAACTCGCTGTCAGAGTAGAGGAGACTAGCCGCCCAAAGAAAACAAGGTTAGGAGGTGAACACACACACACACACACACACACGACAGGGCCGAGGGCGTACTCGGAAGAGCGCGGGACGACGTCGCTGACAATGGTCTCGTACTCATCGAGCCACTCCTTGGCGCCGGCCCTAAGGTCAACGGCAAAAAAGGCAGTGTTACCAAATGTACGCGTAGCTAGATAGAAAGAAGAAGAAGAAGAGAAAGAGGAAAGGGGGCGTTACTTGTTGACGACGACGAAAAGCGTGGTGAGGTAGTCGGTGTCGATGGCATCTTCGGGCTTGATCAGATCGGACAGATCGCGCACCATCAAGTTACCACTGCACGGGGCAACAATAATAATAATAACACGGATGACCAGGTCAGCTCTGAGCCCCCTCTTCGCGTGGGCACGTCGCACAACAGCCGGCTGGCAGCGCACGTACGTGGCCTTCTTCTTCTCGGCGGCGATGGCCTGGGTGACAGACTGGAAGGAGGCGGACTTGGTCCTGAGCTCCTCGTCGATCTTGGTCATGGTCTGAATGCGTGCGGACGCGCGCTTTCATCAGTTCACTCGAACTCACAGGCGTGCATGCACAAGCACGCGCAGCCCGTAACGCGACGCGTTGCAGAAGAGGAGGGGAAAGGGGTGGGGGAGGAGAGACGCACGGTGGAGACGGCGTCGATGACGTCCTTGAGCGGGCTGGTGAGCTTGTACTTAGCCTCATCCCACTCAAACGTCGAAAGGTAGGAATCCAGACCAACTGCACACAGTGGCCCCCAAACGTGGTTATTGTGTGATCTTGAAAATGTGATGGCAAAAAGCCGCATGCGCAAAATCAAGCGAATTGCAATTTGCCCAATTGTTCTGAATTTGTGTAGCTTGACGCAAAATGCACAGAATGGGAGCTCTTGTGGGGTCAACGTACTGTTGTTAACGGCAAGAATCCTCTCGCCCGCGCCAGGACCCTCGTTGTTGCCAGTCTCAGGGTCGGTGTAGAGGTCGCGCAGCTGACGCGCGATTTTGTTCACTACGCCTTCGAAGAACTGGTCCTTGCGGCCCAGGTCCTCGCTGAGGGCCAGGAGCGAATCGAGGGAGCCGACTCGGAGAGAGGGGATCTTGAATTTGGACACGACACCCGCCCCACCCACGGCCGACCGCAATTGCTCGAAGCCATGCGGACCCACCTCCGAATTGGGCACCGATACGAGCCAGAACTGCTTGGTCTCGTCCTTCGAGAAGTTAACGGGCTTCATTTTATATGTATCTGGGCGAATTGCAAAGGTTGCACGTCAGCATGATGAAGAATTTCAGCGCTTCGATAATCGTAACGGAAAAATGCGGAGAGAGATTTAAAAAGAGAGCAGCGGGGCGCCCTACCTGAACGGTCGCTCAAGAAGGGGAGAAGATGAAAATGGATGGAGAATATAAAAGGGTCGCCTCCTCTTGCCGCTTCTTCGTCTCTCTCAGTGCGCCGACCAAGAACCGAAGCTGCCCTCGCTTCTTACTTTGTCGACAACAAACGAATCCTGCTTCCCGTTTTCTTTGGGAAATTATTATTTTATTAATTTTAATCCTAATGATGATAGAGTTGATGGTGCGAGAGGCTTGGGAGACAGGCTGCAAGAGACACCTGTGAAAGGCTACTCCATCTTGAGCCCTTGGCAGATGCACTTAAAGTAGAAAGCCATTCATGGTGGTGACAGGGTGGCTGCAGGTGGGTCCTTTGAGGTAATGAGGCTGGTACATGTTGTAGGTGAGCAGGACTGTATTCTTGAGTACAAGCACCACCAAGGTGAAGAAGGTCCCACACACTGGACTGCCACAAGCTGTGGATGTCAGGCTTGCTTGCACTACTTGCACACTTGTGCCACCCAGCTTCTTGGGTGAAAGGACGTTTTGGTGAGGCGGTCGACAAAGAAATGGTGTGAGAAAAGAGAGACGATCAAAAGATTGGGTTTGAGTTGCCGCTTGGATTGCGGGCGACAACAATGTTCAACACTAAGACGTCGCTGGCCTTGGCCTCGGCGACGAAGGAGCAGGAGAAGGCGGAAGAGGATGCCCTGCTCTCAGAGCCTCATCCTACCACCCTCTGGAAGCCCCTCGGCGATCGCAACTACCGGTACCCCCTCTTACAAGCGCATTAAGCATCTCTATGCTGCACCGGCCTGGATGATCTTTTCTATTATTTCTTATTCATTTTTATGCGTTTTTAATTGAATTAGCAAGTAATCTTATTATTTATACTTAAAAATGTTGGGCTCTCAGAAAGAGGGAGCTGTACGATTTGAATTGGGAAGTGGACCTCTCCAAGCACGTCGTCACCGGCGCGCCTTGCGGCGGAGCCCTCGGTGCGTTCACCCTCTGACCGCACACAAAAACAAATCATATTTATTTTATTGTAATATTAATTATTATTTATTTATGATTTCTTTTGCTACGTCTGCGCAGCGGTGGCGAGGGACGAAAGGAAGATCGTGCTGCTCGCCAACACCGAATCGCTCAAGTCGCAGACCCACATCTACACCTCCTCCGGCGTGCTCATCAAATCCTTCGCTGTACCGCCACCGCCATGACCCATCCTCCACCTATACTTTGCTCTACTCAAGCCTCGCTCGCTCGCTCGCTCACGGCTTGACCTGTGCGCGCCCAGTGGGACAGCCAAAAGGGTCGCGTGGTGCGTTTGGGCTGGACAGCCGATGAGAAGCTCGTCTGCATCTTCGAGTGCGTGTGCACCTTCTCCACCTCGTTGTGACACACACGCACACCACACACCACACACACCACACACACACCACACACACCACACACACCTGCTCACACGGTGAGTCCGCGATGTATTGTGTCCCGCGATCGGCCACCACAACATGGGCACTCCGCTACAGGTCGGGTGCAGTGATGATCTACAATGTACAGGGCGAGAACGTCTCCGCCTGGAGCGTGGGGCCGGAATGCGGTGAGATCCAGGTGCGCACAATCCTCCAACGATCGATCGATCGATCGATTGTTGCACGCCGTGTCGTGTGCGGTGGTGCGTGTGCGTGTGCGATGCGGACCAACATTGGGGGGGGGGACTAGGACGCGTTGTTCTGGGGCACGGGTTTCGTGGTTCTCTCGAAAGCGTTGCGCCTGTTCGCCGTCATGAACCTCGCCGACCCCAAGATCCGACCTCTCCCCGATGCCCGTGCGCCTCGCCTCTTGTCTCTCGTCGTCTCAGCGCTCTGAACCAACACACACACGACACACACACACACACACACACACACACGCACGCACGCCACACACACACCACACACACACGGTGACACTTGCGATCTCAGGCCTGGAGAGTGCGCCGGTGACGTGGTGCGTTATCGGACCCGACGTGTCGCTGTCGAAGGGCGTCGAGGTGCTGCTGGCCACCGCCACCGGAACCGTACTCCTGGTCACCCACGAGCACGTCAAGGATCTGGTACTGCCCAATACTGAGTTGACACGACACGACACGACACGACACGACACGACACGACACGACACGACACGACACGACACGACACGACACGACACACGCATCGTACATGGTTTCCTGATCGATGTCCGGCTTTCGTCAGCTGTTGCAAAACGGACCGTTCGTGCGCATGACCGTCTCGCGCAACGGCAAACTGATCGCCTGCTTCACCGAAGCCGGTACCGCCGCCCGCCGCGCCACTTCTTTGTCTTCTTCTTCTTCGCCTTCTTCTCGTGGCGTTGCGCCAATGGCGGGTGCCCAGAACTGAGCTGAGCTGAGCTGACGCTCGGTGCGGCGCGCGCAGGTACGCTGTGGGTCGTGTCGGCCGACTTCTCGAAGAGCCTGTCCGAGTTCGGCACCGGCTCCAAGGTGCCGCCCAGCCAGGTCGAGTGGTGCGGAGCCGACTCAGTGGTACCGCCTCCAACCCGTCTCGCACGACACGACACACGACACACGACACACGACGCACACGCAACACGACATGACGTGGTGGGCGTGCCAGGTGATGTATTGGCCGACGGTGGGTCTGCTGATGGTGGGACCCAACGGCCATTGGATCAAGTACTCGTATGCGGAGCCGGGCCTTTCGCTGCTGCCCGACCCCGACGGCCTCCGTATCTTCTCCGCCACTAAATGCGAGTTTCTCCAGAAAGTGCCCGGTACGAGACCGCACACGCGTACCATGACACACACACACACACACACACACACACGACACATACCTGACACACACGACACACACGACACACACGCGTGGTGCCAACAGCGGCGGTGGAAGACGTGTTCAAGATCGGATCGGAAGCGCCGTCCGCGCTGCTCTACGACGCCCTCGCGCACTACAAACGCGGCTCGCCTCGCGCCTACGAAAACGTCAAGTACGTACGCGTGTGTGCGTGTGCGTGAGTCATGTTCCACGTGCGTGTCGTGTCGTGTCGTGTGTGCGTGTGAGTGCGGTACTCACCCCACCGCAGGATGATCAAAGCGGAGCTGGTGGAGGCCGTCGACGGCTGCATTGAAGCCGCCGGGCACGAATTCTCTCCGGCGCTCCAGCGACGGCTTCTCGAAGTACGCCGCGCCGCGCACTCCGCACACGCCACACTCGCCGCGCGGCCCTTCTGTGCTCACCGTGTGCTGTAAACACGTTGGCTGTTGCAGGCCGCCGAGTTCGGCAAGGGGTTCGCGGAGGGCTTCCGCGCGGAGCGGTTGGTGGAGATGTGCAAGGCCCTCCACGTCATCAACAACGTCCGACAGTCCGACATCGGCATGCCCCTCACATTCCTCCAGTACGCCCTCGCGCCACACACACGACACACACGACACACACGACACACACGACACACACGACACACACGACACACACCTCACACGACACTGCGCGTGTGGTGTGTGGCGTGTGCGGTCGCGCAGGTACGACATGCTGGGTCCGGAGGCGCTGATCGAGCGGCTCGTGAATCGGCACCTGCATCCGCTGGCCGACGCCATCGCGGGCTTCCTCAAGCTCAAGCGCGATAGTATCCTCATCCACTGGGCCAGCCGCAAGGTGCGTGTCGCCTCGCGTGCGGTGGTGCGCGTGTCGTGTCGCGTGCGGTGGTGCGTGTGCGTGTGCGGTGTGGGCGGCTGATCGACGATCGTCGATGGCGGTCGGCCAGGTGCGCACGGAAGCGCCAGAGCGGGAGATCCTGGAGCAGGTGGTGTCCAAGCTCGCCGGGGTGCCGGGCGTGCCCTACGCCGACATCGCCTCCGCCGCCTACAAGGCCCGCCGTCCCGACCTCGCCACTCGCGTACGTGTCGTGCGTGTCGTGTCGTGTGCCGTGCGTGTCGTGTTGTGTGCCGTGCGTGATTCTTGCCAAGAACTGAACTCATGCCGCGCGCGTGCGTAGTTGCTCGAGTACGAGCCGCGCGCGTCGGCGCAGGTGCCGCTCCTGCTGCACATGGGCGAGGACGAAAACGCCCTCTCCAAAGCCCTCGACTCTGGCGACACCGACCTGGGTTCGCGACTCTCACTCTTCACTCCCTGTCTTGCGTGCCGTCTGCGTGTGCGGTGGTGCATGTCGTGTGTCGTCTGATGGCACGCGCTGTGTGGTGGTGGCTTCGCTGCAGTGTACCTGGTGCTGCTGCACATCAGGCGCTCGCGCAGCGGAGCCGACTTCTTCAAGATCATCCGCTCGCGCAAGGGCGCCGTCGACCTGCTCGTCGCCTACTGCAAGCAGCAGGACCTGGACCTGCTGAAGGACATCTACTACCAGGCCGGCATGCCCAACCAGTCGGCCCACGTCGCCGTGATCGAGGCCTACCAGCACGCCGTACGCCTCGCGCGCGCTCCCCCCCCCTACACCGCAACATGGTTTTGATCGAGTGCGTGTGCGTGTGTGCGTGTGCGTGTGCGTGTGTGCGTGCGTGTGTGTGTGTGTCGTGGCGAGTAGGAGTTGGAGAAGCGAGTGCGTGGGCTGCAGATTGCCCTCAACCTGTACAAGGACACCGGTGACCTGTTCGCGTCCAAGGTGCCCACTTGGATTTCCTCGCGACACACGCGACACGACACGACCGCACACGCACACGACACCCAGGCTCACGGTGGTCACAGGCGACGGAGACGGAGATCCGGCTGCTGCTGGTGCAGAAGGAGCTGGAGTCGGAGACGGGCGAGCGCGACTTCGTGGGCGGGTCCCTCACCGACACCCTCTTCCGCCTCATCGCCTCCCGCAACCTCAAGCGCGCCCAGAAGATCAAGTCCGACTTCAAGGCACGTTGGTTGTTAAGGTGGCTGCGCGCTGTGACAGAGTTAAGGTGGCGGCTGACGCCGGCGGTGTTGGTGGCGGCGGCGCTGCGCAGGTGCCGGACAAGCGCTTCTGGTGGGTGGCGGTGCGAGCGCTGTCGACGGCGCGGGACTGGGCCACCCTCGAGCAGTTCGCCAAGTCCAAGAAGTCGCCCATCGGCTTCCGGGTACGCCCCTCCTCCGCCGCCGCCGCCACCACCGTCCGCTCCTCCATCCACGTCCCGGTGCTGACCGTGTGCTGTGTGTCGTTTCGTGCCGCGTGTGTCGTGTCGTGTCGTGTCGTTGGTCGTGTGCCGCATGTGTCGTGTCGTGTTGTGACAAAGCCATTTGCGGAGGTGTGTATCGAGCAGGGCGCGATGGACGAGGCGGCCAAGTACATCGCCATGCTCTCCGACTCAGCCGAGCGAGTGCAGATGTTCCTCCTGGTAACGCCCTGCCCCCCCCCCATCCGCGTGTGTGCGTGTGTGCATGTGTGCGTGTGTGCGTGTGTGGTACCAGGGAAGTGGACTGACGTGCGGCACACATTGGTTGCACCTGTGCGCGCGTGTGAACTGTGCAGGTGAACGCAATTCGCGAGGCGGCCCAAGTGGCATTCGAGCAGAAGGACGTGCAGCTGCTGCAGAGCATTCTCCCCAAGGCCACCACCCGACAAGATCAGGTACCTCACATGAATCTCCATCAAAAGAGGCGACACACCAAAGATCTGATCATCTTTTTTTCTGCCCATCTCGTGTGCACAGGCGCTGGTGATGGAGATGTTGGCCAAGCTGGGCGTCTCTGTTGAAAGGCTCTGAGGCAAGGCGCTGCCCTTGTTCTTGAGTCCCCTCCCTGTTTTATGTTATTTATCTGCCCTATTTTGCCCCTCAAACAAACAAACAACTGAATGACAACAGCTGATGCTGATGTGGTGGTGGTGGAGCACAACTACAACACTCCTGGGTGGGTGGGTTGAACAACACCCTCAGATCAATGATCAGAGTTACAGCAAGGACAGGACCACCAGCTTTGCAGTGACCGTTTGGCACAAAACAGTGTGATCTGCAGAACAGCCCGCACGGCATTCGCAGCGACATTTACGCCATTTTTCGTCCTTTTTCACGCCCCCCCCCCTTCGCAGCCTTGCCTCTCCATTTTTTTCTCCAACCTTCATTTCCTCTCCAACTGCCCCCCCCCATTGGATTTGACAGACAGCCCTTGGCAAGCCTCTCCTCTCCCACCAGGCTCTCACAAACTCTCTGCAGCAACTCCAGCTTGCTTCTCTTCATCCCTTCATCTCTCTTTTTGTTTTTTCTGCTACCTTCATCTTTTATTTTTGTCAGGTGGCCAACCACCATCCGCCGGCAACTTCTCGAGAAGAAGCAAAAGGTAGCGCGTTGCAGCTGACCCTCCCCCACCCAAGCTTATGTGTGCTCTTCTCTTTACTCGCTCTTGCTTGCCATCTAGATCCTCTCTTGCTTCGTGCTTCTGCTCTCGGCTGCTTCTCTGTTTTTGTAGAGAGATTGGATGGAATGGAATGGAATGGATCAATGCACACGAGGGCGTGCATCTTGGTTGAGGAGAGAGAGGAGACAACCAAGAAAGACAACGATTTATTTCAATATAATCAGACATTAATTGATTCAAATGTTTGCATCTCTCTCGGCAGAGCCACAACCAACAACCCAACAACGGCAATGAGCGGCCCCGGAGACGAAGCCGGCGCAACCGCGCTCCTCCACACACAGGCCCTCGGCGGCACCGGCGGCGACCTCGGCGCCCCGCCCTCCGGCATCGTGCTCCCCACCAAGCAGGTGCGCTTCTATCCACCATCACACGTTGCGTGCGTGTCGTGCCGTGTGTGCCGTGTGTGCGGTGGCACGTGTCGTGCTGTGTGCCGTGTGTGCGGTTAGCTGACCGAGCAATGCAACAGAAACGACCGAAGAGAAAGCAGGTCAAGCGAGCATGCAGCAACTGCCGCAAGTCGCATTCCGGTACGCGACACACGACACGACACACGACCAACGACACGACACGACCAACGACGCGTGTCTTACGTGTGCGTGCAGGGTGC